GGGCCTACACCTTGAGCCACTCCACCAGCTCTTTTTTTTTTTTTTTTTTTTGTGATGGGGTTTTTTGAGATTAAGGTCTCATGGACTATTTGCCCCCGGGTGTGGGGGGGTGCCTTTGAAATGTGATCCTCCTGTTGCTTGCCTCCTGAGTAGCTAGGATTACAGGTGTGAGCTATCAATGTCTGGCAAGGCTTAGGAACTTTTTAGCAGCTCTGCTGTATAGTCAGAAGACTGATGCTCAAATAAGTAGAGACACTTGCTTGCAAGCACACAGCTAGCAAGGGACTGTCACACCCTAGGTCCTGGATACTAAAAGCCTGTTTCTCAGGGGAAGCAGCATGGAAAGAAACAGAAAGCATTATCCTTGCTGCCCTGGAAAATTTACTAAGTTCTGGAGGGAAGGAAGCTAAGTACTTGAAACAACAAACAGTATAGATAGCTTGGTGACATGGGGGAGTCCCAGGAAGGCTGAGGTTTGGGTGACCTGCACTGACTCTGGCAGTGGGTAGACCTCAGCTGGCATTCGAGTGGAGTAACCAGAGCCTAGAGGTAGGCTGAGTTTGGTGTGTGGGATGTCAGGCTGTTCCATGCCCTTGTCCCTTGCCTGCACGTGTTGTCAGCCAAACCTTAGCTGTATTGAGAGGCACTGCAGAAAGCTCTCTAACCCGTGAATTACAAACGTGCATGCAGGGCTTTACCTAATAAGTGCAAGGCCCTGAGTTCAAACCTCAGTACCACAAAAAGAAAAGTGCACATATGTTATAGCGTTCTCCCACATTGAACATGTGGATACCAGTGTGCAGGTGGGAAGAAAAGACTCTGCCTGGTACTCGGCCATCCACCTTAAGCCCCTTGCCAGTTCTCTTGTCCTGCAAAACTTTGTCCTTGATCACTGCTGTGGCATTCCTGGGGGGGGCTCATTATAATTTTCTGACCCCACTTAGCCCCTGACTTGTTAGGCAAGTGATCTTCCATAGGTCATGTCCCCTCTCTGATCTGCACTAGGGTGGTACCTAAGGAACCTTGTATCTTCAGAGGGTTCTGGGAGCATCAACAAATCTAGGGGAGTGCATGGTTTTGGAAAGTCAACCCATTTTACAGCTGCTGCCCCCTAGAGGCTTGGAGGGGGAAATGAAGGGACTCTCTTCAGATCTGGCTTTCAGACCCAGGGCTTCCAACCTCAACTGTGAGAATGGCTGATTGTCAGCAGCTCCTAGGCAGAATTGTTGGCATGAGCTCCTTCCTTCCACCCTCACCACCTTCTTGCTCATCATCTCTTCTCCTTTGCAGTGGAAGAAGCATTGGTTTGTGTTGACAGATTCAAGCCTCAAGTATTACAGAGACTCCACTGCAGAGGAGGTGAGGCAACTGAGTGGGAGGGTCCTCTCCCCGTTCATGTGCCCATAACCCCTGGCAGGGGCTGGGATCAGGGGAGTGGGCTCTCCAGGCCACTCATTCGACCACTGTGGGACCTCCTGCTCTAGGCAGATGAACTGGATGGTGAGATTGACCTGCGCTCCTGCACAGATGTCACTGAGTATGCTGTGCAGCGAAACTATGGCTTCCAGATCCACGTGAGGCTGCATGCAGCAGGGGGGAAGCGGGCAGCATGACCAGAGACCCAAGAGGAGGTGTTGGTGTTGACTTTGACTCACTTATATACCCAGAGACCCATCCTCAGAGCCAGTCAGCAGCGCCGACACTAACTATATCTAGGGAGAACCTTGAGCCACCAGCACTGTGCCCAGGCTAGCAGGGGAAGATTAATGCCCTTTTCCCACCCCTCAAGACCTTAGACACTCTCCTGGGAAAGAAGGGCTGCCTCCCTGGTGTCCATGGTGGGAGGGAGCATGAGTCTGGCCATGTGGCAACCTATCATGGGATACACTTGCAGACAAAGGATGCTGTCTATACCTTGTCAGCCATGACCTCAGGCATTCGGCGGAACTGGATTGAGGCTCTGAGGAAGACTGTGCGTCCAGCTTCAGCCCCAGATGTCACCAAGTATGTGCTGGGCTAGGCTGGGGCCTTGGGGTGGCACTTAACCCTGTATCCCTGAGCAGGGTTCTAGACACTCCCCTGAGGGCCCTGTGGCTGTACCTCCTGGGCCTCAGTTTCTCTAGCAACAAAATGGGGAGAAAGTAATGAGCACCACTGGTATTCATGCAGAAATGCATTGAGGATGTGAGGTTTGACCTACCACCCCTCATGTCCCCCAGTTCCTGAAAGAGTCATGTAAAAAGATAATTGTGAGGCAAAGGCCCTGCTAGGTGGCTCTTCTGTCTCTGTGGTGGGGCTGTGCCTGAGCCTCTGCTGAGGAGAGCCTAGGCACCTTGGTGCCTCTGCTCCCCCTCTGAGATGAGGTGCCTCCCTCCTCAAGGTTGCCATGGTAGAGGAACGGGGCGATTTGTTACCTGATGGCAGAGCCCTCTGGGGAATGAGGCTAGGAGCTGCTGGGTGAAAAAACAGAGCATGGTATGGAAGGGGGCTAAATGTGAGTCCCTCAGCTTGGCCACATCCTGGCTGCTTGACCTTAGGCCAGTAGCTTTTCCATCGGTGTTTCGGATTTCTCATCAGTTATGTTGGGTATTCAAGTGAGCAGATGTGCTGGAGGCCTTTATAAACTCCCGAAGTTTATAAATAGTTGGCCTACTATTCAATGTATGGGCTTGGCTGCTCAAACAAGGAAACTCCAGACACAGTGGCTTAAGCAAGGTAGATGTTTATTTCATTCTCAAGATCATCCCAGTGCTGTGTGGTCTAGGCCTGGTGGGCAGCTCGGCAGTGCTCAGCACACAGCTTCGCTTCTTTGTCAAAGGGCAATGCGTAGGCACCTAGGATGTCCCAGCCAGGAGCCATGGGAGTAGTACCCAACCCTTTAGACAGAGCTGCTTCTCACCCAAGTAGCAGAAGGTAGTCACATGGCCACATGTCACTGAAGGGGATTCTGGGAAGTGTAGTTTTTGAGCGGGAGTCCATACACCTAGCTGTATTGTGGAAGAAAAGAACAGCGATGGTCATTCAGAGTCTCAACAGCTTGTGCTCTGTGCACCCAAATGTAAGCAGTGCCCACAGGCATCTCTCCTATTCCAATGTGAGCCTCCTGAACCCAGGGCATTTTTTTCTCATGAGTTTTTTGGTGGACTGGAGGAGTGGCTCAAGTGGTAGAGTTCTTGAGTCCACCAAAAAAAACAAAAAAAAATGTAGAAAACAAGAAATGAGTTTTTTGGCTTCATGCTTTTTTTTTTTTTTTTTCGGTGGTGGTGGTACTGGGGTTTGAACTCAGGGCTTCACCCTTGCTAAGCAGGCACTCCATCACTTAAGCCATTCTGCCAGCCCTTTTTTGTGATGGGTTTTCTCTGCAACTTTTTGCCTGGGCTGGCTTTGAACTTTAGTCCTCCTGGCCTCTGCCTCCTGAGTAGCTAGGATTTCAACTGTGAAGCCATCAGGCACCTGCCTGGCTTTGTGCCTTTAATGATAGTGTATCCATCAGCATTTGCAAAGGACCTCCTGGTTGCTTTGTGCACATTTGCTTACCAAGCCCTCACATCCATGCCATGTGAGGCATTTTGTCCCGTGTGAGGCATTTTGTCCCATGTTCCAGATGAGTACCTGAGGCTCCAAGAAAGGAAGGGAAGCCAGACATTCTGGGCCCTCTGCTGGCAAATGGTAGAACTGGGATGTCCCCAGCATCTACTACTGATGAAGCTTGAGTTTTCCGTCTCTTGGTTGGACTGCTTGCTCCCCTGGGGTGTGTCCAGCCCCTGGCACTGGGCCTGGCACCCAGGTGGCCCTCTGAGTGGGCAAGGTCTTGCCTGACGTGGCTCTGCTGGTGCCCTAGGCTCTCGGACTGCAATAAAGAGAACACACTGCACAGCTACAGTACCCAAAAGGGCTCACTGAAGGTGGGGGAACAGCGAGCAGGCTCCGAGGTCATCAGCCGGGGTGGTTCTCGCAAGGTGGATGGGCCACGGCAGTCCCTGGACTATGTGGAGCTCTCCCCGTTGACTCAGAGCTCCCCACAGCGGGCCCGCATCCCGGTCCGCACTCCTGACCGTCCTGCCAAGCAGGAGGAGCTGGAGCGGGACCTGGCCCAGCGCTCTGAGGAGAGGCGCAAGTGGTTCGAGGCCACAGACAGCAGGGCCCCAGAGACACCTACTGGAGAAGGGCCACGCCGGAGCCTGGGCGCCCCCCTGACTGAGGATCAGCAGAGCCGGCTCAGTGAGGAGATCGAGAAGAAGTGGCAAGAGCTGGAGAAGCTGCCCCTGCGGGAGAGCAAGCGGGTACCACTCAACGCCCTGCTCAACCAAAGCTACGGGGAGCGCCGGGGGTCCCCGAGTGACAGCCACGAGGCCCTGGAGAAGGAGGTGGGCCCCTTGCCTCCCAGCCCCTCTCTAGTCCCTGAACGCATGCCTTGGCATTTATCTTACACACCTACAGTGATGGGGAGTTCAACCTTGATCTGCTCACTGTCACGCACCTCAGGCTTCTTGTTTGGAAATCTTACTTGGCCTTGGTGTTTATTTCCTGTTTTGCTTCTTTCTAGCTCTGCCCTTAATAATCATAGGGAAGAGAAGTGGGAAGCAAAGGGAGACCATCTGTTATGCATATTTTATAAACAAGCCTGTCCAGAGCCTCTTTACCTCCCTCAGCTCACATCTTGCTCATGGCATGTTGTGATCCTCCTGGGTGGACCTTGTCACATTGTCACTGACATGAGGCATAGCGATGTTTGCCCTGCTCCCTTCTTCATGAGTCATATCCGTGACTGCAGTGTGCAAGTCCCAAACCTCTCTTGTGATCTCATGGCCTAAGCTCTCCCAGGTCATTGGCCTGGCCATCCAGAAACCAGCCAGAACGTCCCTCTTGCCTGTGCCTAGCCATTCTCAAAACCAAAGCTGCTCCTAAGCACCCCACAGAAGTTGGGTTTGTAGCCCTGTGGAGCTGGAAGGCTGTGGGCTCTTTCCTTCCCGCTACCGGGTCCCTCTCCATTTCTGGGCCCCCATTGACCTGGTCTTCTCCCCTCGTAGGTCCAGTCTCTTCGTGCCCAGCTAGAGGCATGGCGTCTTCGAGGGGAAGCTCCTCAGAATGTATCCAGACCCCAGGAGGATAGTCACATCCCTCCAGGCTACATCTCACAGGTAAGGCTGAGGAGCTGTTGTGTGGGGTTGGGGGCAAGTTTCTGGTTGCTGTGTTGTCAGAAAACAAATTTAAAACAGTTTGGAAGCCCTTCCTGTGTGCTAGATCCTGTGTGAGGCATGTGACGTGCATCCTCTCATTTCATCTCCCCACAGCTGGTGGGCATGATCACTGTGCCCATTTTACAGACAAGGCCACTGAGCTCTGAGAGGTTATGTGACTTGCCCGAGGTCACCCAGTCTGCAGGTGTCAAAGGTGGGATTTGAGCCTGGGTTCCACTGACTGCAGAGCCTATGTGTGAGTCCCCGTGTGACACTCTGCACTTGGACTCCTTCCCCTTCATCACCTTGGGGAAATGGGGAGCCCTGGGAATTGTTCCCTAAACACAGGGAGAGCCTGTTCATGCCTACCAAGGAGGTCTGCAGGATGTGGGAGCCTTCAGTGGCCCTCAGGGAGTGTACCTTCTGCCCGGACAGCACTTCTCAGCTGGGGGTGACTTTGCCCCTGGGGACAGTTGGTTTTGTCTGGAAACAATTTTGGTTGTCACGCTGAGACAACTGGATCCCCAGAAAAAAAGCATGTGTGTGTGTGTGCACATAGTTACTATAAATTTTACTGATACAAAAGATGTTTAGTATATAATTTACAAATAAAAATATATAATACTTTTTATTGTGAATTCCACATGGTGGATTTTTCTCAGAATGCTTTCAGTGATTTTCCATATTTTTGTGTCCACAGCTAATTAACAAATACACACAGATCTAATATAAATGCAGTTGCCATTTTTGTTTATGCTAACAAGTAAAGTGAGAATGCATATGGAAACTTCATCTGGTCAATATTGTGAGCGACTTCGCCAAATCAGATAATAGTTTCTATTGAGCATTCTATTAAGACTATTTCTGCAATTTTTTGTTCTGTGTACAATATGATGGTTATAGATGAGATACTTTCAAGTTTAATCTGTCATCCTAGCATTTTCTCAGCACTTGTTTAATTCTAGACAGTCCTTATGACAGAGGGTCAAGTTGTGAGTTGTAACATCTACCAGTTCCCATGGTGTAAGTGCTCTCACCATGGTTGATGTTTGCTACCCATGCAAAGTCACTGAGCATAGCCTCGGAAGAGTCAGCACACCATCATGTAGCATTTCTGTCATACAGACACCACAGCCATAAACAACCTCGGGAACACATATAATAAACACAGTGAAAAAATTAGGGAATGACACTTTCTGACTATTGCCTTTGTTTTCAATATAATTAATTGTGAGTTTATAAATTTAGTTTTTAAAAATGGCCTTGCTTAGCACCTAGGTCACAAAATTCCTAAAAATTTGACAGTTATTTGCAGTCTATAGTACACCATTGCCCAAAGGAGAAAAGAATGCTGGGATCCTAGGCCCTGGATGGCAGGACCCTTCTAGAAGTTCCCAGGATTCAGTGTAGGTCACCACGGAAGGGGCTCTCTGGAAGGCTTCCTAGGTGGTGTATGTGTGGGGACACTGGTTGTAGCTGATGGTGGAGACTGGTTGTTGCCTATTAAAGATCTTCCAAGAGTAAGCTGAGAGTTATTAGTCTTATTCCATAGACCTTGGGAGGTCTGCCAGTGACATGGAAGGTGATCTTGGAGTTCAGAGACTCAGGAGGGGGCTAGGCTCAGGCCAGAGGAGCTAGGGCGTGGTTAGGAGAGAGTGGGTTGGTGGTGGGGGTGAGGGTGTATCTGGAGGGAGAAAATAGTACTTGATGATTGGGCCTAGGAGGGCAGAGAAGAGTCTGCAGGGCCCTGAGGCGAGGCTGCTGCACCAGCAGAGACCTCCATCCATGAGTAGTGAGTGGGAAGTTCTGCCACATGAGCAAGGAGAGTTGAGGCCTGTTGAAGAGGCCAGCCTGGACTTACCCGGACTTGGGGAGTATGGAGAAGGAGCCAGTGTTGTCAAAGACTTCCCTTGGCTCACACCTGGCCTGGGGGCTCTGCGAAGTCCAGGGGCACCTCTCTGAGTATGTCCATTCACCTATAAACAGAGCAGTTCCATCTTTGTCTGTTTTACTATTACAACTGACTTTAAATTCCATCTGAGAAAAGGTTTCTTCCAGCAAAATGAAATTTTAAAAGCATCCTGGGACTTCTCAACTTACAGATGGGGAAACAGAGGCCCAGAAAGGGAGTGTGACCTTTGAGCTGTAGGCAGACCTAGAATCCTAATTTCCTGGTCCCCACATGTTCCATTGGGCACTCCAAAGGATGTCAGCACTTTGTCTGGTTAGGCTGAGGTGGGCAGAGGCAGCAAGTGGAATTGGAGGGTTGGGAAGAAAGAAATAGTCAGGAAACAGTCAAAGATCATGGTGGGGGCATCTGAGCAAAGGCCAAGAAGAGGAGCTGAGTCATGTGTCCCCCTCAGCACAGGTGGAGGTGGCTGGATATTCAGTGGACCCTGGAGAGGTGACAGCTTGGGGAGGGATTCCCAGCTTGGTATCTCAGTTTGAGTAAGCACCTCTCTTTTAGGGCTGGGGGCCTTGCCACCACAGGACAACTGTTGGGAGGTCTGGGCTTCATGCATTGGGACTTCAGTGCCTTCTTTGGCAGAGGGGACCTTCCAGCCTAATGCAATGAGGGCACTGGCATTTCTTCATCTACATTGATGTCCATGTCAGAAGTGTGGCCAGTATGAGGACATCCAGGCCACTCAGGAAGGTAGGTCAGAAGCAGCAGGTGGCCTTCTAGGAGCCCTCCTCATAGTCTGGATCCCTCCTTCTGCCATCCCCCTGTACCCTGTGAGCTGCTGCTTCTGTCTACCTGCTCTGGCCCTTTAAGAATGCGGGCCTCAGCCCTCTCCCCCCACATTTCTGGGTGGGGCACTGACTAAGCTTGCACTCCTGTGCCCAGGGACCTTATGAGTTGCCCTTGTGGTACCTGTTTGAAAGATGTGGAAGCTAAAGATCAGACAAGGCTGGATGGGGGGTGGGAGAGGGGGGCTGATTCATGGCTACTCCATGGGGGTCTAATCTGTAGGACTCCAGGACTATGTTCTGTTGTCCTAAGTAGGGGGACATTTAGAGGGCAAGCCTAGAGGCCCAGCAGGACAGACATCCCCCCTCCCACTCAGAAAACTTAACTCAGGAGGCTTTTTCCTACCCTCCCAACAGCCTACGGGAGCCCTGGGAGTGGCTGGCTGCAGGAGAGGTGGCTGCACGTTGGCCAGGTGGGAAGACACAACCCTGATCTAGCCGTCTTGCCTCAGTTTGCCACCTCTTTATAACCGTAAACTTTTTTTTTAAATTATGTAAGAAGCATGTTTATATTTTCAAAAACAATTCAAAGGATGACCAGGGAGGTGTCTCGGTTGTAGGGTACTCTTTCCTGGCACATGCAAGGCCCTAGGTTTGACCTCCAGCAGCAGTAATGGTTAGAAACGAACACATAGCCGGGCACTGGTGGCTCACACCTCCAGCTACTTGGCATAACGGTTTGTGAGACCCCCATCTGAGCAGAGACAAGCTGGACATGGTGGCATGTGCCTTTCATCCCAGCAACAGCTGAAAGTGTAAAACAGGATCACAGTCCAAGCTGTCCTGGGCAAAAAGCAAGATTCTTATCTTCAAAATAACCAGAGCAAAAAGAGTTCGAGGTGTGGCTCAAACAGTAGAGTGCCTGCCTAGCAAACACATAGCCCTCAGTTCAAAACCCAGTACTGATAAAAAGCAAAAACCCTTTTCCCTGATTCTTCATACACATGTGATGATTGGTCCTAGGAGTGCACTGTGCTAGGTCAAGAGAGGGTTGAAGCCACGCACGGGAGGCTCACGCCTGTAATCCTAGCTATTCAGGAGGCAGAGATCAGGAGGATGGCAGCTCAAAACCAGCCCTGGCAAATAGTTCACAAGACCCTATCTCGAAAAACCCTTCACAAGAATAGGGCTGGTGGAGTGGCTGAAGGTGAGGGCCCTGAGTTCAAGCCCCAGTACCACAAAAAAAAAAAAAAAAAAAAAAAGAGGGATAGGGTTGTTAAAATACCAGGTGGTTTGTGGTGTTATGTGCCTGTAATCCCAGCACTCAGGAGTCTCAAAAAAAAAACCAAAAAACTGCACTGACACTGCCAAACTGCCCACATACACCCCATCGCAGTGGGCACTCAGTCTTGTAAGTCCTTGCCAACCTTGTCTCCAAAATCCTGTTTTGTATTAAGTCACCAATTTCAGCTCCTTTACTAAACACCTGCTATATGTCATGCTCTGGCCTGAATGTCAGGTATTCACTGCCTTCAGGGTATTATGGTCTGGAAGAGCAGAACCGAGGGAGGCAGGGAAAGGCTGCCCAGAGACAGAGCTAGAAGAGACTTTTAAGCTGGGCTTCAGGCCAAGTGAATTACCCAGAGAGAGAATGTTGCAAAAATATGTTCCAGTCGGGAGGAACAGCATGAGCTAAAGCTCAAAGGTATGAACAAGCCACAAGGTAGTTTTTAAAAATATGAGCTTGTACCTAGGCACAGTGGCTCACATCTGAAATCCCAGCTAAGTGGAAATCTGGAGGATTGTGGTTTGAGGCCAGCCAAGCCAAATAGATCAAGCACCCATCTCAACCAATAAAGCTGGGTGTGGTGGCGTGCACCTATCATTGTAAATAGGGTGATGATCCAGGCAAAAATGTGGGACCCTATTTGAAAAATAAATGAGCAGAAAGGGCTGGGGGGTGTGGCTCAAGTGGTATTGTGCCTGTTTAGCAAGTGCTAGGCCCTGAATTCAAACCCCAGTACCACCAAAAACTAAAAAAAGAGAACAAGAATAACAAAATAAACTATGAGGTTGCTTGGCCAGGAAAGGTCAGGCAGCGATGAGGCACTGAGCACCAAACAAAGGGAAAGGGACTGACCCTGCAGGATGGGGGACTCCAGAGGGTTTATTTATTTATGCATTTATTTTTGGTGGTATTGAGAATTGAACTCCTGGCCTCACACTTGCTGGGCTAGTGTGGACTTATCCCAGTCCACTGCAGAGGGTTTAAAGCAGAACGGTGACAGGTGAGGTTTGTGGATGGTGAGAGTGACCTGGCATCAGGGGCAGGCGCAGGCTAGTGATGACTGGACACTGGTGAGCCTGCACATGGGCCAGGCCTGCCCTGAGGCTTCTTGCATGGAAGGTGGCTGGCCCAGCCCCATGACTTCCTGGCCTCTGGCCCGCAGGAGGCCTGTGAGCGCAGCCTGGCAGAGATGGAGTCCTCGCATCAGCAGGTGATGGAGCAGCTGCAGCAGCACCACGAGCGCGAGCTGCAAAGGCTGCAGCAGGAGAAGGAGTGGCTGCTGGCGGAGGAGACTGCAGCCACAGCCTCGGGTAAGGACCCTGCGCCTGCAGGCTGAGGCTCCTGACTGAACTGGGGAGGCCTTGAAACAGGAAGTGGGGTTGCAGCATCAGACTTGGGTTTGGAAGCCCCTAGCTGGTCTCTGGCCCTATTTGAAAAGGGGGACTGAGGCAGTAAGAGATCTGCCCATGTGCTGTGAGTCCTATTCCCCAGGGGTCTGCAGCTGCTGGGCAGCTACACTACCCACATGCTGGGGGACACTGATCAGCTACAGGCCCTGTCCTCACAGGAGTGACATCTCCCTGGGGAGCTCAGGGGGCCTTGCCAGGCCTAGCTGAGTGCCCTGTGCTGTGCCCCACATGCTCCTCATAGGAGTGCCCTAAGTCCTCACAGCACCCCCAAGGACATCCCCATTTCACAGGTGAGGAATCTGGGCCTCAGAGAGGTTAGTGACTTGTCTGGGACTGGAGTCCAGAGCACTCTGGCTGCAGGCAGTGATCTGAACGCCCTCTGCTTTCCCAAACCAGAAACAGAAAAGGCCTGCAACAGACAACTCTCTCTTCCCTAGTCCCACCACATACCTGCTGTGGCCACCTGACATGTACTAGGCACCCTGAGGGGCAAGGGGGCCACAGGACATTTGCTCGCATTCAAGAGTTCAAAGGAAATGGAGCTTTCTCGTCACCGGTGCTGGCCAAGTGCTTCCTATGTTTGAGCCCATAGCCACTCCTACATTTTCGGGAGGTCACCCTGTGCAGGCGCCATGTGGTAGTCACCCTGTGACAGCACAAAGGGTTTCTGAAGTGAACTTCATGAAAGTCAAGCGTGTGTGTAACAGAGACCACCAACGTGTCCCTGCACATCAGATTTCTACCAGAGCCTTATGACAAACTCGCTGTTTGGAACTTTGGGGTTTTGGAATTGTGGGTAAAACTATAATCCTTTTTAATCCTCACAACGACCTGTGTAGCGTGAAATAATCCTCGGTCCTTGAGAGCTCACGGTCTAAGAAATACAGCTAGCAGGAGCTAATATTTGGGTCCTTCCTCTGTGCCAGGCCCGGTTCTAAATGCCCTATAGACATCTTCAGCTGTAGTTATCACTCTTTGCAGATAGAGGTCTGAAACACCCAGGGGCTGCCACCTGCACAAAGTCATATAGACTTGTACTGACTGCAGAGCCAACCTCTGAACCACTAGCCTGATGGGGCAGAAGGACCTTGTTCAAGGACCGTGTAGACTCTGCAGGGATGGTGCTTCGTGTGGGGTCTTAACTAAAAGCACTAACAGGAAGTACCAATGGATAGACCAGTGTCTCCCTAGGAGGGCCATCAGATAGGGTTATCCTCCTCTGACAGGCTCAGAGAGGTTGAGCAACTTAACCCAAAGCCACTAAGTTCAGGACACAGCCTGGACTGCTCTGGACCCCTGGTGCAGTGTGCTTTGCACGCTGCTTCCTGGTGCAATATTCACCTGTATAAGTTGAGTCTCGGAGGAGGGCCAGTGCCTCTCAAACATCTTTCTGCCCTGCTCCCAGCCATTGAAGCCATGAAGAAGGCCTACCAGGAAGAGCTGAGCCGCGAGCTGAGCAAAACACGGAGTCTCCAGCAGGGCCCAGATGGCCTTCAGAAGCAGCACCAGTAAGATGGCTAAGGGGCCCTGGGGTCTTTGGCTGGGTCTGCCTCTGAGCCAGGGCCCACTGTCCACACTAGCAGTTGTGAATTGAGAACTTGGCTGAGGCCCTTGGCAGACAACACGTTGGTTTGCCTACTGTGATTCGTACCCCAGTCTTACAAGGAACAGAGGCTGCAGGGCCTCAACCAGTGCCCAGGCCAGTCCTGGTAGACAGTTCTTCAGGCTTAAACAAGGCTCAGGCTGGTCTCAGCCTCTACTTCTTCACCTCTACTTCTCCTTTTCAGTGTTCTCTAGAGCTGGGTTGCAGGTCACTTTTAAACAGCAGGTGTCTCTCTGCCACAGCACTGTCTGGAATGCTGGGGCTATAGTAGCTTTAGCGACAACCCCTTGAACCCACCCTCTCACAGAGGAAGCACCTGCAGCCCAAAGAATCTGTCACCACTTACAGCCCTCAGTGGACTGAGAGCAGAACTATGAAGGGAACCAGGAGTTCTGAGCTACATTGAGTTGACTGACTGACTCCAGGCTGGGCTGTGGCAAGAGCGCCCACACGGTCCATCTGTCCCTTTGCTGTGCCTGGCAGGTCAGACATGGAGGCTCTGAAGCGGGAGCTGCAAGTGCTGTCAGAGCAGTACTCCCAGAAGTGCCTGGAGATTGGCGCCCTGACACAGCAGGCCGAGGAGCGTGAGCACACTCTGCGTCGCTGCCAGCAGGAGGGCCAGGAGCTGCTGCGCCACAACCAGGTAGGCCTGACCCAGGTATGGTGGGAGTGGGCGCAGTGGGGCAAGCGCCCCTGCCCTGACCGTCCATCCCCACCCCCACCCAGGAGCTGCACGCCCGCCTGTCAGAGGAGATCGACCGGCTACGCAGCTTCATCGCCTCTCAGGGCAACAGCTGTGGGCGCAGCAATGAGCGGAGCTCCTGTGAGCTGGAAGTAAGCACCTTCTCCTCTGTCCCTCCCATGAGGGGCAGCCTGTGGTTCAGGGGCCTAGTAGATTGCTCCACAACAGGCTGAGCGTCACCTGCAGCAGGAATACCAAGATTCTGAGGGTCTGGGCCCCAGCCAGGGGAGGCCGGCCCAGTTAAGACTGAATTCCTGCGGCCCACACAGCAGCCAGAGGCGGTCCTCCTGTCCAGTCCTGTCACCTACTGCTGTGGGTCCCCGGCAGTCATCTGTAAAATGGTACCGCCCTTATTATGAGAAGCTGGAGTGAGAAAGCTTATATGTGATCCCACGTTCACCCTAGCATTTGATTTATTTTATTATCTGTGCCTAGAACTTCTGTTAAGTCTTTCATTGCCATTATCTCATCTTCCAACAGTCCTATGAGTTCAACACTGTACTGTCCCTGTTGGACAGATGAGAAAAGAGAAGCAGGGAGGTCAAGTGCCTTCCTGAGTATTGTGGAGCTGGGATTTGCACCAGGCAGTCGGCCTCCAGTCTAAACTTTTAGGCTTCACCATCCTAGCAGAGCTCGTGTCCCCTTTGACAAGTCAGCAGCCTTGCCCCTCAGGATTAGGAGTCAGCAGAATGGCTTGCCATGATCACATAGCTCTCAGTTATAGTGGGGTCATAGCACAGCCTCCTTTTGACCCCCTCACCCCCAGCTGAGATCCTGGCGCTGTTGTTGGGGCTACAGCCAAGATGACAGCAAAAATCCCACTCGGGGTGTGGAAGGGATGACAAGCAAGGAAAGGGGAGCAGAGATCAGAGTGGTTTCCTGGGGGAGGTGGCCTCTGGGATGTAGGTCTTGGTGCAGGTTGGTGCTGGGTGGGGAGGAGCCAGGCTGTGGGCACTGTGGACCTGGGTAGCTCTGGCTTCTGGCCCAGAGTCAGCCTGGCACCTGTACCCCCAGGTGTTGCTGAGAGTGAAGGAGAACGAGCTTCAGTACCTGAAGAAGGAAGTGCAGTGCCTCCGAGATGAGCTCCAGGTGATGCAGAAGGTAGGCAGGAGCAGTAGGGATAAGGTGCTCTGGAGCCACCTGAGCAGCCTGTGCGATCTGCCCAGAGCCAGGTGTCCTCTTTGCTTCATCCTCTCCTCAGCACAAAACAGTGCTGTTTGTTTTGTTTTGTATTGGGCAGTGCTGGGGTTTGAACTGAGGGCTTCATTCTTGCCAAGCAGGCACTCTACCACTTGAGCCACTCTGCCAGCTTTTAAACAGTACTGGCGATTGAACCCTGGGCCTTGCACTTGCTAGACAATTGCTTTGCTGCCACTTGAGCTGTAACCTGATCCTGATTGCTCTTGTTTTTCAAATAGGGTATTGCTAACTTTTCCCAACTAACCTTGGGATCACCACACTGGCTTATCTATTTTTATTGAGCACCTACTATGAGCCAGGCACCATGCTAGGTGCTGGGGACACAGCTGTGAACAAACAGACCCAAATCCCTGCCTTGTGGAGCATGCATTCCCATGAGGAACAGGAGGCATTGCCAGCAGTCAGGAGGGCTGGATTCCAGCCCGAGTCTGAATCTGTGCCATGCCTAGCCCACCCTTGGCTGCCCTGTCCTTGCACTGGCCCATTTTGGGTAGCAGTGGACTTGCAGGGGCTGAGTGTGTGTGAGCCAGCACTGTGCTCACTGCGCTTGATGAACAGGCCCCATGAGCTCGTGGAAAGGCCCACGCTCTGGGCCACATTGATCTGGTTCTCACACTGGCCACTCACTGCCCTGGGGTCTTAGTTAAAGGCCTCACCTCCCACAAGCTTCAGCCCTCACTCTTCCGATGGGGTGAAAATGACTGTGCAACCCAGTCACCAGGAAGTGCTGGGAGGAGTGCCAGGGCTTGGGCAGCTCAGGGACCCCTGGAGGGATGAATCGTGGGGTCGGGGGGGCCTGGCTGCTCTGCTGTCAGCAAGGAGTAGACTAGGGCTTTATGTGCCAGTAGGGTCTTGAAGGGTGGCTCAGTCCTTATGGTCCCTTCCTGCCTCAGGACAAGCGCTTCACCTCTGTAAAGTACCAGGATGTGTACGTTGAGCTGAACCACATCAAGACGCGGTCAGAGCGCGAGATTGAGCAGCTGAAGGAGCACCTGCGCCTTGCCATGGCCGCCCTGCAGGAGAAGGAGTCCATGCGCAATAGTCTGGCCGAGTAGAGGTGGGTGCCCGGGCGCTGCAGGGTGAGCAGGGGGAGTCACCACGAACAACCTGCTGGTCCCCCTGAGCCAGCAGGTCCTTCTCCTGGCCTCTCTTTTCCCATCTGAAAATGGCACCATGACACCAGCTACACAGGATTGTCAGGGATGGTCAGATTTGAGCCAGAGCTGCTCTTTTCAACTTGCACTCTGAATTGCTCTTTCTCCGAGGCGAGAAGGTACAGGTGGCTCACGATCCCAAGCCCTGCTTCTTAGCCAGGGCTGCTGCCCCTCCTCGGGCTGGTGATAGATTGCACATCCACCTTCATACTCACAGTGTTCCTCCCCCTGAGCTGCTCACCACCACCGATGCTGACCGTGGCTGTACTTTGTCCTGCCTACACTTAGAGTCATTCTTTCCTCCACTGCAGTACTAGGGATTGAACCCAGGACCTCTCACATGCTAGGCAAACACTCTACCACTTGGGCCCTGTCCCCAGCCCTTTTATTTTTGTTTCTGAGATAGCATCTCGCTAACTTTACTCAGGTCTCAAGCTCAATCCTCCTGCCTCCGCCTTCTGGTATCTGGTACTACAGGTGTGTACTACTGTGCCCGGCTTTCTTACAGCTGTTCTTGCTTCAGCAGGGCTTGAAGCATTTTATGATGCCTTCCCCAACACTTCCCCTCCCTACCCTGAGTGTCCTCTTTTTTGACAAGTCTCAGGACTTCCTAAGGCACGGGCAAAAGTCATTTACAGAGGGCCAGGCTATTTTGTGGAGACGCCCCACAGAGCTGACTTGCCTGGCCTTTAACTTGGAGTATGGAAGGCCTTTCCTTCTCACCCCCTTGCCTGGCATCAGCACCTGTCCTTGTCTTCCAGGTTATCGGGTCTAGACCAGCTGCAGACCCTCCAGCCTCATGGACCAGTCACCCTCCTTCCCTGATGGGTAGAAGACAGAAGCCAAGCTTTCTCCTTACCCTGTGGGCCACACGTGCACTTGTACCCATTACACACACACACACACACACACACACACCACACACACACATATACACACTGCGTATCTGAGCGCGCCCCTCGCACTGGGTCTTAACTTGCACCTTCTTCAGGATTTTATATGTGAAGAGATTTTTATATAGTTTTTTTTTCCTTTTTTTTTCTCTAAAACACTTTATACTTTTTAAAAAAGCAGTTCCTGGTGGCGTGTGCTTCCAGGACTGGCTCCTCTCCCTCTCCAGCCCCCTGCTTGGGCTTCTGGGCCTCAGCCTTCTCCTGAGGGTCCCTTGAGGCCCCCCAGGAACCACGACAGGTTGACGGGGAGAGAGACACAAGTAGCAGCCCCCTCTTCCTGCCCTACCTCCTACTAACTCCTGCCCTGGGTGGGCCCGCACCTTGGGATCTGGACAGAGGGATGATTGGACAGAGGGAGCCAGCAGCTGTCCCTACAGCCCTACCCACTCTGAGGAGTCCTGGGCATGGAACTGCTGGCGCCACCAGTGAAGACACTTCTCTCCTGCTCCATGAACCCTCTTAACTTAATAAAACCTTCCAGCAGCTCTGGTGTCCTGGATGGCCATACAGGCTGGGAGGTAGGGACTAGGGTTTCTTAAAGTGGCTCTCCCACCCATCCACCAGCACCCCACCCTTCCTGAAGTGGGGATGTGGGTGTCTGAGGGTAGAGCTGCAAATCCAGTTCCTGCAACAGCAGCAGCAGCAGGAAGCATGTCAGAAGTACCCAGCCAGCCCTGCCCTGACCTTCTGAGTCAGAATCTGTACTATAGCGTGGTCCCCACAAGTTACAGACAGCTTATGATCGGAAAAACCCTGCAGTTGTAAAGAGGGCTGGAGCTGAAACTGCCCCTGATTGACTTTGGGCAAGTCACAGCCTCAATATGCTTCTTGGGCAAATGGGTGACTTTTAGTCCTGGTACTAGATTGAGGCTATGTCCAGAGGCCATGCCCAGCCCTCAGTGTGGGGTTAGAGAGGACAGTGGATCAGGACAGGTGTCATGGCTGGCTGTGATGGTCATGCTCGCATGTGGGGCTGGAAGGAGGCCCTGTTTCTCAGCCACAGAAACCACATTGGGTTCATTTCCAGAAGGTTATAAGAACCCAGAGGAGACCCCCAGGAGCCTGCAGCTACTTTAAGCCAATGACATGCAAGGGAAGTCCTCGGTAGGGGCGGAGAAATCATCCTGAAAGATCTTTTCTGCTCTCTATTCTTGGTCAGGCCATGAGATGAACCCAGGGCCTGTTGGATGTTAGGCAAGCACCTCACCATTGAACTACACTTGTGATGCAGGGCTTGTCTTAGGAGATGACGAACATCACTAAGCCACGTGATGTCTGTGACTGGCTGGCCTGCCATCCACATAGTTGAGTCCTGAGCTCGTCCTCAACCATCCTCCCAGAAAGTCCTTTCTCCTGCCCTCAACTTCCACCACTGGTGAGCAGAAAAATAACCAGGCCACCATGGGAAGATGGCCCACATGATAAGTCACCAGCACGCCACACCTTTTATCTAGAAACAAAGGCTTCTAGATAAAAGGACAGACAATACCGAATGCTGGCAAGGACACAGAGCACTGGATTCTTGGCTGGCGTGGCAGCCATTTCAGGCAACTGGCAGTTTCTCACCAAGTGGAACATAATCCGCTCTGGCTAGGCGCACATGTGCTGCAGATGCACCCAGGGGAAGTGAGAGTTAAATCCATTGCGTGGCTGGCGGTGGTACTCCTGTCAGCCTTACTCAAAGCAGCCCGAGTCCAGGAACAGTACAGTTGTCCGTCAGCAGAGTAAATTGTGTATATTTATATATTACAAAACTGTGGCAATAAAAAATTAGTTATGTTCAAAAACATTCATGAATCTTCCAGACATACTGTTAAGCAAAAGAAGCCACAGAGGGGATCTGCTATAGGATTCCATTTACCTGAAGTTCATGACAGACAGAATGCACTATGGTGACAGTCCTCAGAACACTGGACGCCTGGGAGCTGGGTGGTGGGGATTGCCTGGCAGTGGACACAAGGGGACTTTCTGGGGCCAAAGTGCCTCGATCTGTTACAAGCACATGGGGAAAGTATCATGCTGTACAAAGCTTTGTACAAATTGTCTTGATAGGAAAAAAAACTTTGTTGTTGTGGTTCTGGAGTTTGAACTCATGGCTTCGTGCTTGCTAGGCAGGCACTCTACCACTTGAGCCATTCCACCAGCCCAGAACACCTGCTTTTAAAAAGAAGCCAGGAGCAGGAGGTACAACTCATGGCAGACCATTTGCTGGCATGCACAAGGCCCTGGATTCGATCCTCAGCACCACCAAAAAAAAAGAAATCTAGATATTCTCCAGAGGATCTCAAGTTTGAGGCCAATCTGGGCTAGATAGCAAGACCCTGTCAAAAAAGAAAAAAGTGTTCCGACAGGTACACAGGTGAGCCCCTTGGGCAGGGCCCAGCCACCTCAGTCATGCAGGGCATTTGGCCAGACCCCATGGCTTACCAGCAAGGCTGGTCACCACCTTAGGCCGCCAGGCACTTGCTGTGGAAAGTTTGGACAAACCTGCTGGGTTCACACCCCACCTACTGCTGGCAGGTTCCATGAGCCCCACTGAGTGACACCTGGCCTGGGCTTTATTTCCCCATCTGTTAAATGGAGACAATAATGGCCACCCAGGGGATGTGTGCACTTTAAATCACCAACTGTTTGCATTACCTATTGCTGGGTGACCGACTACCACAAACTTGATGGCTTAGAGTACCATTTTTGTTATCACCGCTGCATGGGCCATGGCCAGGTGGACAATTCTCTGGGGTCCTTTTTGTAGCTGCAGTCAAACGGTGGCTGGGACCAAAGTCATCTGAAGTCTCCTTCACTCATAGGTGTGGTGCCTTGGCGGGACTCTTTTCTCTGTTTCTCCACGTGGCCTCTTCCTGGGGGACCTCACAACATGGTGGTCTTAGGACAACCTGTAGTCTAACTTCTGACATGGCAGTTGACTTCCCTTAGAAAGTTTCACCCAGGTGACATGTTTGTGCTTGCTTTCTAAGTTAGGCTTGGCAATGTGACATCGCTTCCCCCACATTGGTCAAAACAAGTTACAGAGCCAGCCAGGATCAAGGGGACTGGACAGCAATTGGTCCTGAACACAGGGGTTGTCAGCTGGAGTCATCTTTCTTAGTGTCCTGCTCCTGCTCCACGGGTGCACGTAGGATTCTCCTCTGTGTAGCCCTCTAATGCTGCGGTCCCCAGGGTCCATCTGCAGTGCTCCTGCCTTCACAATGACCTTGGTATCTCATCCTTGGCTTTTGTTATCATCTGTGCTAACCACATCTGCCTCCAGTCCAGACAGACTGGGGCACTTTAGGTGCCAGGGCCCTGGCTCAGGTAAGAGGGCTGTGTGAAGACAGATTGGAGAGTTGTCAGCATGTGGGAGCTACTGGAAGGCCTTGGGTCAACCCAGGAGGCAGTGTGTAGCCAGCCAGGGGAGAGAGAAGAGAACAGAGTTTCTAGGAAGAGCCAAAGCCCCCAGGGCACTCAAGAGGACAGTGAAGCGGACAGACAGGTTCTCAGAAGTAACAATGAGCAAATGCTTCAAGAATCAGGCAGCCAGTAGGGCAGGAAGAGGTCGAGGTCACTAGGGGCATGAAATTTATCAGGCACAGAAGGTGTGGGCTGTCAGGTCTAGGAGGGAGACAGAGCAGGGGTGGTAGGGGGGAGGTATGTTGGTAGGGCTCCTTCTTCCATGCCCCTCCCCCCCGTTTCAGTATCCCCAGAGCCGATTCCAGCCCATCCCTCTCCCCAAAGCTCCCACTGATCTTTGGAAGTTCTGACCCCATGGCCTTCGCCCTGAGGTCACTAGGGGCTGACCTCACTCTGCCTTCCTTTCCTAAGGCCTAGAGCTAGCTGCAGGCCTCCGACCCTCACAGTGCCACCCCACAGCAATTCCTCCTCAGGACAATACTGAGGTGTCACCTGCTGCCCTTAGAGTGTCCCTGACCACCCTCCTCACCCAGCATAGATCTAGGAATCAGACAGCTTTCCATCTGCATTCCTGCTCCTGGCTCTGCAACTTTGGGCAACTTACATACCCTCTCTGTGCCTTGGTTTCCTCATCTGTAAAACAGAGTAGTTACCTTGCTGTATTGAGAAGATTGAGAATACACTAATAACAGGCAAAATGTTGAGAAGAGAGTCTGGTGCCTTGTGAAACGCAAATCAAACATTAGCTCTTATGATTACTGTGGTGGTGGCAGTTATGGGGTGTTATGAGGATTAAATTAACTCTTCATATAAAATGCTTGGCACGGTGCCCAAAATAAACATTTCAATGAGCAGGAGCTGTTCTGCATCACAACCAGTCAGAAGTCAGCTGGAGGCCTCTGCCCTCCCCAGCCCCAGGAGAGGGAGATCAGGCTAACCATGGTCTGAGCCCCAATTCCAGACCCCTCCCTTCCACTCTGGCAGGTTCCCACACGTCACGTATCGGCTTCCTGGGACTTCCTTTTTTCGGGGGCTGAACATGCTGCCAGGCACAAAACCTGGTATTCAACCTGTAACTTTTCAACTTTATAGTAGCAAAAGCAAGACCCATTCAGTAGAAACCTCTTAAAATTTTGTATTTGGATCTTTTCCTAGGCTAGTGCTATTAAGTCTGATCCTTTCTGGACAGGGAACCGTGGCTCCCAGTGAGCTACCTGGTCACGAGGGGAAAGTCCCCGCGGCGTGCCATGTGGTTACCTAGACTGTTTGGTAGCCTGGGGATTCAATGCACGTTTGTGTTACAATGGGTTTCTTGGGACGTGACTCTCAAGTCCTTTTGCAGTGTCCTATGAGAGAGTCTCAACATTCCCTGCACCATCTGGACCCCTGGTGGGTAAGGACATCCATCCGCCACTCTGGGAGGAATTTACTCAACCACTGACTCCCCCTCCCCCACCATGCACTGGCCAATCTTGGACACTGCCATTCATCCTGGTAGTCATGATCATGGCCTCCTTTAGCCTCTGGTTTCTCCTTTGTGCTCAATCTACACACAGCCAGTGCCAGCTTTCCAAAACAGAGTGATGGTCATGTCGCTCCTCTTCATGAAGTGTCTGTCCTCCATTGCCCTAGGATCCAGCCCCACACATGAGGCCCTCCACCTGCCCCAGCTCCTCTCCCTGCCCTTTGGCAGCCTGGGCTTCCAGCTTCCACTACAGGAAGCCACCTCCAGGTCCCAAGGGACCACCATGCACTTGTCTGTCCTCATTGCCCTCCTCCTGCATCACCTCCTCACTCCTTGTGCCTCCCCTGCCAGGCTCCCCAAGACTCAAGACTTGACCTGCCATCTCCAAGAGGCCTTCCCTGATCCCCAAGGGTCTATGTGATATGGGGTTTTTTGGCAGTACTGGAGTTTGAACTTAGGGCCTTACGCTTACTAGGTGCTCTGCCTCGAGTCACTCCACCAGCTCTTTTTGTTGTGATGGGTTCTTTCAAGATAGGGTCTTTTGAACTACTTTCCCAGATTGGCTTTGAACCATGATCCTCCTGATCGCTGCCTCCTGAGTAGCTAGGATTATAGGCGTGAACCACTGGCGCCTGGCATGACATGTTCCTTCTACTTGGTTCCCCCAGACTGTGAGTCCCCTGAGGCCAGCTCCAGTTTTACCTAGAACCCAGCACAGGACACACAGAATTTCAGCTGGATAAGTGTTTGTTAATTGACTGACTGACTGGAAATGAATGACTCCTGAGTCAGGTACCCTGTAGTCATTGCACAGCCACAGACTCAGCCCCAAGCCAAAAGGCAAAAGGCTAAGTCTCCCATAAACCCACTGGGAAGCCCCGTAGCTAACCTGAAGGTTGGAGGCTAATGGTAGTTTCTGGGACCTGAAAGGGCCGGCTGCAAGTGTGACTTGTCCCTATTATCCCAGCGTCCCATCTAGACTTTATAAGGGCCAGTAGGCCCTCCAAGGGAGGGAGGAACCTACTTTGATGGAGCGTCTGCCATGAGCAAACTTTGTAGACAACGTCCTCTTACTGCTCACAACCCTTTGAAGTAGCTATGGCTCTCCCCATTCCACAGAGCAGGAAACTAAGAGTGGCCAAGACTCACCCGAGGACAATAATTTAGTGACTCATATATCACCAAGTTTGGGACAAGTCCAGGTCTCGCCCTCATTCAGGCTGCCTGTCCTAGCAGTAATAGCACCTACCTTGACAAAAATAGTCCTTTAGCCTGACCACCTACTGCAGGTCAGACCCTATAATAAGCATTTCACACTCTTCACCTTTAATTCCCAGATCAGCCCTGCAGGAGGTAGCACAATTATCCCCTCTGTGCAGGTGAGGGGCTGGGGCTCAGAGCACTGCAACGAGTCACCTGATCAGAGAGCTGAGGACTAGGGCTAGAGCTGACCAACATCTCTCGTTGGAGTCCACTTAGAAAATAGGTGTCTCAGGTCCCCACTTGGGAGGTGGGCATTTGGGGGAGGTCTGGGGCACTTTTGTGAGGCCTAGTTGCCTCAGTTTCCCTAGAAGAGCAGAGCAAGCACTTTGTCCCAAGGACTCAAGAAGGCTAGAGGCCCCTAGACAGGGCAGGAGAGTGTACAAGGATGCCCTGCTGCTGGCTAGCCCTGGCCCCAACTTGATCCCGAATGCTAGCCTCACCACGTGCATCGGGGCGGTGCCAGGCACTCTTTCCACACTCACACGTGGTGCCCAAAAGCCACTTCACTCCAGCACCGAGGCCAGACCCTCCCCAGCTCTGGCCACCCTGACCCAGTGGCTCTTACCCTCTGTAAACCACCTTGAGGTGGTGACTCCAGAAGGCTGGCAAAGGGGGAGGAGCTGTGTCTTTAAGTAGGTCACCCAGACCTGTTCCAGCTCAGCCACCCATTGGCTCTGTGTCCTTGGTTAAGACATTTCCAGAGCCACCTCTCAGCCACCCCTATATGGCTGTGTCCTCCCTCAGAAGCAGACAGCTGGCTGCCCTGTGTCTGCAAGGTAAGAAGCAGCTAGGTGACATGGTGGCAGCCATGAGGAAGAACCACTGGTACTATTTAGAGACTGTCAGGTGAGGCCTGGCTGGCTATGACCCTTAGGACTCCAGCACAGAGGGAAGACAAAGATGAAAGACACCCCAGGATGAGTCATCCACCACTGTCCTGCGGCAGGCAGCCATTCATTGTTCGCACAGCTGCTCTTGGGGACTGGGTGTCAGCTCCCTCCTGTCTGCACCCTCAGGCTCCAGCATTGGGCTTTCCTTTCAGCCCTTCATCATCCATTCCCTGGTCCACTTGTCTGCGTTTTCCGCGAAATCAGTCATTGCAACTTTGGAAGAGGTGGGGAGCTAAATGAGGTCACCAGCACTGGTGCCCAGGAGCCATAACCAGCAGTGAGTAAGTTCTCCAGGTCCCGTGCCAAGGTGCACAGTGGAGTGAAAAGCAAGGTGCAGCCATGTGGAGGTGACCCAGAGGGGAAACAAGTCCCATAAGGTTTGCATATGCTTATCTATGCTTAAAACACACAGGTGCTGGGGTGTGGCTTGAGCACCTGCCTAGCAAGTATGAGACCCTGAGTTCAAACCCCAATACTGCAAAAAATCAAAACAAAACAAAACAAAACACGTGTATGTGCACAAACCCCCTGACCCAGTCTGAAGGGGCTCTGGACACATAGTGGCTACCTCCTGAAAGGGGGCTAGAGAGAACAGGGGTAGTGGGACACTTATTTCCTTCAAAACTTTCTGAATTCTTTCATGTGGTATCCTTTTTAACATAAACAAAAGTTGGTGTTTTGGGGGGCTTTATTAGTGGGACAGTATTGAACTCACGGCCTCATGCTTGCTAGGCAGGTGCTCTCCACTAGAGCCACACCTCCAGCCATTTTTGCATTTTTCCACCCAGCCATCCTGGACCTCAATATTCCTACTTTGCCTCCTGCTTAGTTAGGGTGACAGGCAGGCGCCATCACACCTAGTGTGTTGTTGTCTTGAGATAGGGTGTCACTAACTTTTTGCCTGGGCTGGCCTTAAACTGAGATCCTCCCGATCTCCACCTCCAAAGATTTTGGGATTACAGGCATGAGCCTTCTTGCCTAGATTATAAACAAAAGTTAAAAAAAAAAAATTCCAGTGGCCCTGAATGGAGCCTAGTGCAGGCTCAGGGCAGGAGCCCAGTCAGGGTCACATGCTGGCTCTGCCCAGTCCTGCTCCAATCAGTTCCCCTCCATGAGAACCCGCCACCTCCCCCGAGGTGAGTCACAGTGGGATGTCTCCACCGATGGACAGCTGTTATCACACCTGTTAACATTCTGGTCAAGCCTGTTCCAGGCACCGGTGACACAGATGTGAAGGGACACACCTTGTCCCTGCCCTCACCCCACAGGGCAGAGAGAGACCACACCATAACAACCAGGGAGCACTGATGATGCAACCTAGCCAGCCAAGGAAGCAGGGGGGGAGGCTGCCTGGCAGAGGTGACAAGCGGGAGGCAGGGAGGGAGGGTGCTTCCAGTGC